TATATATACAAATACAAAAACAAAATACAAACAACATTATCATTGTTATTCTTTAGAAAAGAGGAAAAGTAAGAATGAAAGCACCCTGAAAGTATAAAATGTTAGAAAACACTGTGTCACGACCAGGCACTACTAAAAAAAAAAACCCAAAACTAAACTAAGATAAAGGGAAGAAAAAAAAAGACCAGTATGACAGTTATTGTTTTTTAATTTCTAATATTAACTACACTTGAAATATTCAAAACAATCACTGCCCACTCTGAGTGCAAACACAGCATCGACAGATTGTTTCACAAAACATTTGTTAGTGTGCACAGACACTTGTTAGGTTATACAGTGAAAACTCCTTTTCTGCCTTTATTAATTGACAGTTAGATGTTTTAGAGAACAATTATCTAACGCTGTGACTGAAAAAGAGGTTATAAAGGAGGCAGAAGTTGTTTGTTCCACAGCTCCTCACAGCTGACCTGAGAGAACATTGAGAGAAGTTATCAGGTTTAGTGATGTGGTCCCTGTTTGAACATAACATTTTTTGTTATGAAGTTACACTAAGAATATGTATGTGCACATATGCATAGCACGAGCCCTATTTTATTGTTATTATTTTTATACATATAAAGTGGAGGACCATCACATCCCACCCACTCACCAGTGACTCATACACAAGTGCTCTGTCTAATTTTTTCTTTCAGCCGGCGGCCTTTGGGAACAAAGACCGAGACATAAGTGGACATGGCTGCATCTTTCATAAGTGTGTGTGTGTCTGTGTGTCAGCTCTCCTTGACAGACCTAAAAATATCTCCACACTGTCTCATAAACACTTCATATAGTTAATCTTTCTCCTCAGGGCGCTGCGTGGGGCCAAGATGTTACCACTGATTACACAAGTGGATGAAAAGGCCGAGTAATATTGGCACCTACTCGTGTTCTTTTGGTCTTAAGTGATTTTAAATGGATGGTTTTATAGCTTGAGAGCTTTGGATGCGTTTCTGCCTCTTTTCTGTAATTGTTATAAATCATGTCATCTTTAGATGATATCAGAAGCTTCCAAAATATGTGGGTTGAAACCTGACAAATCTAATTTTGTTTCTCTAAAACTGATAAGATGGAAATACTAGAAAGGTGCAACTTCTAAAACTGAGACTTTTCGATGAAAAAAGTAAAAAATCTCTGAGCGTTGGAGGAAATAAAAGTAGTTCAAAACAAGGTTATTCATTAAATTCATACCGTTGTTCTATTATGGAAAAGATTGGAGTAAATGAAGTTGTTGAATAACCTGCAAAGCTATGATGTAAAGCTACTGAGTCTTTGTCTGTCTCATCATCATCATCAGCTAATAACATGATGTAATGTTTCCTCTTTTATCAGCTCTTCAGAAAGTTGGAGCAGTGCAACACGGAGCTGAAGAAGTACAGCCACGTCAACAAGAAAGCTCTGGACCAGTTTGTCAACTTCTCCGAGCAGAAGGAGAAGCTGATTAAGCGTCAGGACGAACTCGACCGTGGCTACAAATCCATCATGGAGCTCATGAACGTCCTGGAGCTGCGCAAATATGAGGCCATCCAGCTCACATTCAAACAGGTACAGTAGGGTCCATCACACTCTGCAGCCTGTTGAAGGCTGCTTCAACATTAGACAGTTGGTCAAAGAGGTACTGATCAGAAAATGAAAAAAAAACCTGACATTTAGATTTTCTAACCCTGTGATTATATGAAAAATACGGGAATTTTCAACAGATGAATTGAATAAAAGGTTATGCTGCCATCTTGGTGATGACCCTGCATTGATCTTATTTCTGTTTGTGCATGTTACTAGTATGTTTTTGTCTGTATTTGAGAGTTATTTTTCTTCTCTTTTATTAGTTGTTTTTTTATTTTGGGACCTGAGTACATATTTCCTTCTATCAAGTGCAAACATGGATTGTGTTTTACGACAAGCATGTTGCCTCTGTGTCTGTGGCTGTGTTTTAATTCAGGGGTTGCAACCAACGCATTTGTTGGCCGCTTACGTCACTGCGTTGCGCCGTAGGCTGTCCCAATTCGTTGGTGTCTGACGATACTGGAAACACACACTCCATCTGAGTATCCTATGTGGCCAACGATATCCCAGGATTCATTGAGCCATCAGCAAATTAAACAAAAAAACAAAGACGGTGGAGGTGCTTTTATTTAGTTTGGAAATTCATCACAACACAAAAAAATTGTTTTTAGTTGTATGTTTAGCAATACAGCTGATGAAATTTAAGCTGCAATGGGATGTTAAATAAAATGCATGCATAGAATTTATGTGCAACTTTTTAATAATACTGAATTTTGTTACATTATATCATGTAAAGACAACTGACGGGATGTGATATAAAACAACACCAAGGCAACAGGGATGGTCACACAAATGTACATCATGCAAAGACTAGACCGTCTCATTTCACAGCAGTTTGATGGAGCCCACATGGACTGTGTGAGGTGTGACCGACTTCAGCTGCAACCCCTGAACTGAGACACATCTACTCTTAGTTTCTGTCACACTTTAATATCAGCATCCATGCTAACCATATTTTAGCTCTTTTCCTCCAGTACTCTGCTAATTGGCTGATCTTCCTCGTTCTTCCTTCTTCAAGATCCTTGTCATCTTCCTCCACAGCTTAAGAATTCACAGATAATACCTGACTAATGTTTTAGTGGTTTAATCTAGGGATGTTAACAATTAATCGACTTACGATTAATTGTCGATTAATGGTTTTTTAGATTAAAGTCATTTTTATTAGATTAATTGTTTAAATCCGCGTAATGCGCCCGCCGTCCAGGAGAGGGCGCCGCTGCTTACACT